GCAAAATCTGGGGAGCGCCTAAAAGTATTCTTTAAAATGCTACAGATAATTGTAGAAAAAATCACCTTACATATGACTCTAACATGATGTGTAATCTAGCATTTGCCGATACTTTCGTCGTTATTATAAAATTACTACAGGGGGGGCAAAAAAAAATTCCATGGAAATATTTATTAGGTTTCTGACGCACTTTTTACGGCATTAAATACATGTCGCTTCTCGGTATCAAATCATGTCAATTATCGCCGGCATAATAAAATATTTGTTACGTATTTGTTTGTTAACAAACAAATAAATAAAGAATGGCAACCTTTTTGAACTACTCTTATCAGCGGTACTGTAGCAATAAAAATTAATTTTGAAAAATATGAACAATTTTTCTAATCTGATGGATGTTTTTGGTCGCACGCATCGTTATGCAATTTATGAGATTTTTTTTTCGAACTCCTCCTGTCTCAAGAGACCCATTGCAGTCATCATTTTAGAATCTATCAAAATGCAAATTTTCCACAAGGTTTGTGTAATTATTTAACGTTGAAAAGAGCATGAATTTCGTTATTTAAAAAGGGGTTAAGGTTTGTGTGCGTGTGTGTGTGTGGAGGGGGGTAATGATCCCCTTCGGATGGAACCCCATTTGCCGATTTTTTTTAACGTAGAAATCATTTTGAAAACTGCTTCTACTTCCTTAAAATAGGGTCTCTTATGGGATGTTATGAAATCTTTTATTTTTTGAGAACCTGCAGGGTACCGACAGAAAACCAGAAAAAGGTTTTTTCAAATAAACTAAACAGCTGTTTCAAACCGAAAATCTAGGGATAGAAGAGGGCATGTAGGAAAAGTTTAATCCGAAGAGAATCTCTATAAATGTGACCTTTGCAAAGATCAAGCTCAATTAAGATGGCCCAGTTTCTCAGGCTATGAACAGCAACTGGGCTATTTTAATTGATCATCTCTACAAAAATATTTTCTTTTTTTGTTTTTCATTCTTCGATTTCATTTGAACTGCTTCAACCACAGATATGGCAAAATAATCAAAAAACAAAACAAAAATAAAACTTAAGGTCGGCCGGGCCAAACTTTTAATTCTCTCCATCTTAGGGTAAAGGAAACATTAGAACCCATTGTGTCCCACAAATACCAATTTGTCGCAAAATCATCAAAATATTTAATATCGGGAGGTACCGCTATATGGGGCTATAAAAATATTTCGGCAATGGAGCTAGAACCCATCAGGACACAAAAATATCAATTTTTAGACAAATCCGTAAAAATAGGTTGCAAAAATCATCAAAATACCGAATATCTGAAAGTACCGTTATATGGGAGCTATACCAGAACATGAATCTATACATACAATGTTTTGCCACCAATACCAATTTTTAGATAAATCCGTGAAAATTTTTGAAAAAAAACCATCAAAATACCGCATATTCTGAGGTACCATTTTATGAGGGCTATACCAAATCGTGGACCTATAGATGCAATGTTTTGCCACCGAAGCTAGAACCCATTATGACCAACAAATACCAATTTTTAGACAAATCCGTGAAAAAATGTGGCAAAAATCATCAAAAAAACCGAATATCGGAAGGTACCGTTATATGGCGACTACACCAAAACGTGGACGGATATATCTATATTCATTTATTCATTTTCAATACCAATCATCCTAGACACAATACAAATTATTCTGCAAAATTTTGATGGGTGGCCTATATCGTGATTTCAAAAGAAAGGCGGAAAGACAGACGGACATCGTTAAATCGACTTCGAATTTTATGCTGATTATGAATATATGTACCTTATGGGGTCTACGAGGAATATTTAGGGATGTTACACACGGAAAGACAAAGTTAATATACCCTGCCCTCCATGATGGAGGGTGTAACAAGTAAAATAGTATCAGTCGATTTTGCCGACAAATTTATACTCTCAGCCTCGAGTTATGATTATTCGAACTGTTGACCATTTATGGGGTAGATTCCGAAGCAGTTGAACAATATTGATCAATTCGTATGTGACATAAGACTGATACAAATACTACAACGTGTCAGATTTGAGATATATTCGAGATACTTTATATGAGATATGAGCAATTTTTTAGAAATATGCCTGACGTAACAAATATACCGAACCGAAGTATTCCATTTTCATACATCATCTAATACAGATAAAAATAAAAATATTGGTATGTGTAAAATTTGAAGGAAATCGAACATTTACATCCAATTTTATGCGAAATCATAAATTTCGAAAAATTGTAGGGTGAAAAAAAAAATGTCGGAAATAGCATCACATTTTAGAATAAGTTTAGATTTGTTCGAATTGGTCACCTTTGGCACGAATTATAGCCTACAAACGGCCAATGAAACCGTCACACGCTGCCCGAATGTTGCTCTGCGGTATTTTGGCTCATTCCCGGCGAAGCGCTTGCTTGAGGTGATCGATACTTTGGTATTTTGGAGTGCCGACCTTGCTTTTCAAAATACTCCAGACACAATAGTCCAACGGATTGGTATCCGTAGATTTTTGTGGCAACTGTGCTCTGGAAATGAAGCGAGGAACTTCATTTTGTAACCATTCTTGGGTGGCGCGTGCTGAGTGCGATGGGGCTGAGCCCTGTTGGAATGACCAAGGTCTGCGGCCAAAATGTTTGCGTGTCCAAGGCTTTATTACACGCTCCAGATTATTTTCGCGATAGTATTCGGCCTTTATTCTGATGCCACGGCCGATTAATCCTAGCGGAGAGCGCCTATCGGCTATTATGGCGGCCCACACCATCACCATGGCCTCACTCAAGCGCCTTGAGTTCTGGTAGCCAACCGAAGGTGTACATTTTCAGCTGACCTCTTTGGCAAGTGAACACGATCATTTTGATTGTTTACAAACTGCTGGACAACGATTGTTTTCTCATCGGAGATCGGAGAAAACCAAATTCGGCAGTTCACCACTTTCGGCCAAGCGAAGCAACTCTTTAGCTCTTTTGAGTCTATTTTCTTTCTGTTGTGGTGTAAGTTCTTCCACTTTTTGGAATTTCAATGGCTTTACCCCGAGCTCATTTTTTAATATTTGCCGAATGGATTATTGCAATATGTTCAGCACACGAGCCATTTTTCGGCCACAGAGACACGGGTTTCGATCAAGTCGCTTTCGTTATTTTTCGAACCATTCCTGCTGATGTTGGTGTTTTCTTCCGTCCACTTCCTTGACGTCGGGCTACGCTACCAGTATCACAGTACCGAACGATGGTACGAGACACAAAAGATTTACCCACATTTAAATGCTGGAGTTCTCTTACGATAGCCACTTGTGGGTTTCCAGCCAAATATAAAGAAATCACACTATCACGCTTGAATTTCTTAAAGAAGTACTAACTGGCTTTTTTATACCTCCTTTCTAACCACTTTACCTCTGGGAGAGAAATGTCTATATATGGGCTCGGGTCGGTATTGCCCATCTTCGCAGCTGACATATCACTGATAAAAATATTGGGATTTGGGAAACATTGCATTTGACCAAAATTGGATGATTCGTTCTTTTCGTGGGGCAGGTCCCAGAAATAAAGTGGACCTATGTTGTCCATCTCCGAACTCGATCTAAGTTTGGTAATAATATTACAATGTACCAAGTTTGTAGCAGATCGGATACTCCCTTTGAGAGTTATCGTGAGCACAGGCCAAACAGACAGACAGACGGACGGACGCACGAGCACCTATAGATCGACTCCAAATGTCCTGATTTGGAATGGGTCCAAAGAGACATAGGGTCTAAAACCGTTATTTCCATGAGGCACGTTTTGACCGTGTCACTTGATATATATCCTCTCAAGCCATATGGCTAAGGGTATAAAATCGAGTTCGAATAATTCTAACATAACTTAATCGTAAAATCTATTTTCTGAAAACCCCTTACGTTTGGAACTTGGTCAAATGTTAAAACCTGTAAAAATAGAGATTCAGTTGAAAAATACCGAATACCGGCTACCGATTTCAAAAGTATCAAGTTACAGGCATTTTGGCTGGAAAATATGTCCAGGGTTTTGAACATTTGGAAAAAACCTTAAATCAGGATATGACGGTTATACCACCAGACCTATATAAAAAGTTTTTTGCAAGGAGAAATTCTATTTAATGAGCACCCGAATATCAAATTACAGCTGCTGCCGTAATAAACCTTTAAATGCCGTGCGTAAGGTACCATTCTATACAATATATGCCCAAACGAAAGACAGGACCAATACCATTTTGGATTACCAATCTTCCTAGACACAATAAAAAATATGGTGCCAAATTTTAGAAATCTACACCATATACTGTGGGCTCTGTCCTTATTTCAACAGAAAGTAAGATGTCGGTTTTTCCGGACTTCATTAAATGGATTTCGAATTTTGTGGTAATCAAGAATATATGTACTATATGGGGTCTCCGACGAATATATCGAGGCATTGCAAACGGAATAACAAATTGACCACCAATCAAGCTTTCATATTTTTTTTATACCCTCCACCATTTTGCCAGTAGTAAGGATAAATTCGTAAATGGGCCATGTCGGTCCACGTTTTCGTATAGCATAACACTCCCGATATTCGGTATTTTGATGATTTTAGCGACATTATTTTCCGGAATTGTTTCAAATTTCGTATTTAAAGTTCGTAAGAAGTACTACAATCTATGACAAAAAATTTGGTATGCAGGTCCACGTCTGCGTATAGCCCCCATATAACGATATCTCCCTTTATTCAGTATTTTAATAACTTTAGCGACATTATTAACCGGAATTTCGTATTTGTGATTCGTAATGGGTACTGCAACCTATGACAGAAAATTGTCTATACCGGTACACGTTTCCGTATAGTGTTTTCTTTTAAGCGGCATTTTTTTCGGATTTTTTTTTGAAAATTTTCAATTTCCTTTCCAAATGGTAGGGGGTATTAAGAGTTCGATCCGAGGGAACTAAACAGCTTTTCCATTTTTTTTTTTTTTGAAATTTTTAAAACTTACATCACTCCTCTGTTTAGGTGAATTGTCAATGGTTTTCAATTTCTCCGCCACACGTCGCTTCAAAGTTTTATAAAAACCATTCTCATGCATTGTCAATGTATAAATTCTCGGTTTGACTGCATCACGGACTTTATATTTTTCAATCATTTTACTGGGTGCCGAAGTCAAATGATGAGCCTCAAATGCTTCGGTAATGTCCGTGCCGCGAGTTTCTCTTATCCAAAATTCGCCGCCAGGATGTTTTTCAATAAAATCGGTAAAATCATAAATTCCATCATTGATACGCCACAATCCTTCGGCTTCGTCGTCCACACGTTTGCCTTTCAACCAACTGGAATAATGATTTCAAAAAAGCACAGCATTTTAAAAACATATCATTTGCTAAGCCTTTGTTTAGCCTTTGTTTACTACCTTTCAACTGTAACTAATTTTGAATTCCGATAGGTGGGAAATTTTGTGGCAATGCCACATTTTTTCCATTCTTCAATCACCATTATGAGATGAAATTTGAAAAAAAAAATGCAGAAAACTAACCGATGAATTAGCCTCGAGTAGAACTTGAACTGAACACGAAAGGGAATTGAACCAAACTGCGGGCGAACTTGAAATCTGTTATTTAAAATAGAAATTCATCTTTCCTTTTTAGCATTATCTTATCTGTCGGCTATAGCTGGCAGTCTTTTGCTGCTGACTTTTAACTTCTGACAATAACAATAAAATATATATTTACAAATATCTCCAATTATGTATGTCCGGAATGTATTCATTTACATTGCATTCGGCTATAAATCAACATCGTCATGTTTATTTGTACATACATGTATGTAGTGCATGCATTACAACTTGTCACTCAAACCCACAACGGATAGTTGTTAGAAAACGCAATTTATATTTAATACACACAGTCGACTCCGGATTTATGCAAAACTGAAGATGCCCAGAAAATCATGAAAATCAAAAAAAAAAATCTTCAACAAAAAATTCTATATCAAAACCAGTAAAGAAAGTCTTAAAGTCGGACGGGGCCGACTTTATTATACCCTACACCACTTTGTTAATCTAGTAGAGCGTTACGGAGTGCATATTACGACTGTGGGTAACAAATATAACAAATCGGATGAACAATATATATGGGAGCTATAGCTATATCTGAACCGATCTTCACCAAATTTGACATACTACCTTCTAGACTCAATTCGGTCGTAAGTGCCAAATTTCAAACCATTTGGGCAAATATAAGACGTTTGATGCACAATAAAAGGTAAATCGGACGAAGTTATATATGGGAGCTATATCCAAATCAGAACCGATCTTGATAAAATTTGGCAAAGATATTTCTGAGCTGTATTTCATACATTTCCCTGAATGTCGTTGTTACGGAGTGCATATTACGGCTGTAGGTAACAAATATAACAAATCGGATGAACAATATATATGCCAGCTATAGCTATATCTGAACCGATCTTCACCAAATTTGGCACACTACCTTCTAGACTCAATTCGGTTGTAAGTGCCAAATTTCATCCCATTTGGGCAAATATTAGACGTTTGATGAACAATAAAAGGTAAATCGGACGAAGTTATATATGGGAGATATATCGAAATCCGAAACCGATCTCAATAAAATTTAGCAAAGGTATTTCTGAGCTGTATTTGATATATTTCCCCAATTATTGTTGTTACATGGTGCATATTACGGCTACGGAGGACAAATACAACAAATCGGATGAACAATATATATGGGAGCTATAGCTATATCTGAACCGATTTCGATAAAATTTGGCATACTTATTTTCAGGTGCAATCTGATCGTACGTGCAAAATTCCATACTATTCGTGCTGATATTACACGTTTGGTGCACAAGAAAAGGCAAATCGGACGAATATATATATGGGAGCTATATCTAATTTTTTACCGATTATCTCCAATTTCAATAGGGTTCGTCCTTGGGCCAAACAAATGATTTGTGTAAAATTTCATCTGGATCGGGTAATAAATGCGAACTGTACTTTGTTCACAAAAATACATGGACAGACGGACGGACGGACATGCATAAATCGACTCAGAATGTGATTCTATGCAGATCATCAAAAGAACTATGGTTCTACCTCGTTTCCTTTTGCCTGTTACAAACAAATGCACAAAGACATAATTCCCTGACCACCACATTTTAAATTATTATAACTCTTATAAAATGTAATGTAAGAATCCGATTCTCTTCAAATTACACTCATCACAATATTTTTATTAACCCAAGTTCTGATGTGAAGATGAAATATATTGGTCCATTCCTTCTCATACCTCTCCCACAAAGGGTCAAAATTTTGAATATTTATGAAGCTCATAAAACACGAAATTAACTTCTGATTCCATTCAGACTTGGTACATCTCAATATTTCCATCAACACAAGATCTGTTATAAAGATGGTAGAGATCGGACCATTCCTTCTGGTACCTCCCCCACAAAGGGTTTAAGTTTTGATTAACCAAATAGATTATAAAATACGAAATAGGCATCCAGTTCTCCTCACATTTCACACATCACAATATTTTTATTAATCCAAGGTCTAGTGTGAAAATGGAATATAACGGTCCACTCCTTCTGGTACCTCCTCAACAAAGGGTCAAAAATTTGAATATCCAAGAAGCTCATAAAACTCAAAATTACATCCGATTCCATTTAGACTTGGTACATCTCAATATCTCTATTAAGATGGTGGAGATGGGCCAATTTCTTCTGGTACCTCCCTCACATAGATGTCAAATTTTTGAATAACCAAAATGATTATAAAATCAAGAACAAGCATCCGGTTCTCTTCATATTTCACACATCCCATTATTTCTACTAACAACAGTAATATTGTCAAAAAAACACTCTGCATCTTAAATGCAAAGATTCCAGGGAATCTTAATGAGAAAATTAAAAAAAAATGTTGAAGAGGGCAGAACTTTATCTCTATTTTTGTTATTTTGTGATGTCTTCTGTCTTCTATTTTAAGCTCTAATTTCATAATCTGTTTTTTTAATTATCAAAAATTTTAAATTTTATCGCGCAGTGTAATTAAATTTAAGTGGAATCGACTGTATTTATTTTCAACGGTTTGAAAACCCATTCAAATTGCATTTGAATCGCCCCCATTCAAATTGTTGACATGCTTATTATGGGCTTTTGGAAAACAAATTACACGTTAATATATTATTACGGCTACAGAGGGTAGCGTACATATGAAACCATATATAACTAAACAAAATTGGTATTCTCTGGCATAAAATGGGCTATAGATATCCACGTTTGAGTATAACTTCCATAAAACTGCATCACCCGATATTTTGTATTTTAATAATTTGGGCGCCACTATTTAGTAAAGATTTTCCAAGTTCCTTCGAAAGGGTATTAAAAATTCGGACCGGCCGAACTTAGCTTGTTAATATTTAATTGATTAATTTTCTAACAACAACCAATTGGAAAGTTCCTCAGTTAGCCGGTTCATTTAAAACAGATGCCCCCCTTTGGTTCATCCGACTTGCGCTTATCATTGTCTTGCCGTTCATTATTTGTAAGTCAAGGCATTGTTTATTTTTGAACGCCGTTTCTTATCGGACGAAGAATTATAAAATCACAACAAATGATCACTTATTGAGCGAATGAAATGAAATATTTTATTTTCAAATACAGCTAACATTCGGAAATGCAACTCATTTGTGATAACAGCGAAGCACTTAAAAGTAGTGATTTAAAATCTAAAAAGAAAAATTGCCATTTTCTGAGATACTTGATGGGATGCAAACTAAATCGCTAAGAAGCTTAAGGTGATATACAGTAAAAGCGGCGTTAAGTTCCGATGAACTTTTTATACCCTCCGCAATGTGAAAACTTACACATATCTGTCTGGTGCGGGAGTATCCGATTTGGTCCAAACTTGGTACATCGTAATACTTTTATCAAACTTAGATCGAGTTCGGAGATTAACAATATCAGTCCACTCCTTCTGGTACGACCCCCCAAATTGTCAAAAAAAAATATTTTACTGCAATGAAAGAGAAAGGTTTATCCGATTTTGCTTCAACTTTGCGAATCTCAATATTTTCCTCAGTGCTAGGTCAGGTGCGAAAATGGACAATATCGGTCCACTCCATCAAGTACCTCTCCACAAAGGTTCCAAATTTTGAATAATTATAGCTTTTATAAAATATGATGTAGGAGACCGATTATTTTCAAATTACACAAATCGCAATATTTTTATTAACCCATGGCCTGGTGTAATGATGGAATATATCGGTCCATTACTTCTGGTACCTGGCCCACAAAGGGTAAAAATATTCGAGAAGTTCATTCAGACTTGACATATCTCAATATTTCTATCAACACAAGATCTGTTATAAAGATGGTAGAGATCGATTCATTTCTTCTGGTGTCTCCGCGACAAAGGGTCAAAGTTTTGAATAACCGAAACGATTATAAAAATCCGAATTAACCATCCGGTTCCCTTCATATTTCACACATCCCATTATTTCTACTAAAACAAAATTTGCTGTGAAGATGGGATATATCGGTCCTCTCCTTCTAGCACCTCACCCCAAAGGGTCAAAGTTTTGAATATCCAACGCGAATTTAACATCCAATTCCATTCAGACTTGGCATATCTCAATATTTCTATCAACACAAGATTTCTTATAAAGATGGTAGAGATCGGAACATTTCTTCTGGTTCCTCCCCCACAAAGGGTCAAAGTTTTAAATAACAAAACGATTATAAAATCACAAATGCCATTATTTCTGCTAACACAAGATCTGCTGAGAAGATGATATATATCTGCGAACCCCTTTGATACCCACCCACAAAAGGGTCACAATTTTCTACAGCGATTTTTTACAACTCCCTACATCTATCTATTTCAAAATCGGATTATCCTTTCTACTTCTATGAGGAAAATTTTTATTATTATAATTATACCCTCCACCAAAGTATGGAGGGTACATAAAGTTTATCATTCCGTTTGTAACACCTCGAAATATAAATTTTAGACCCCACAAAGTATATATATTATTGATCAGCATAAAATTCTATGTCGATTTAGCGATGTCCGTCCCTCTGTGAAAATCACTATAGCTTCCGAACGATGTGAAGTAGGTTGATAAAATTTTACTCAAATGTATATTATGTCTGCAGGACTTTTGGTATTGAAAATAGTTCATGTAGGTCCACGTTTTGGTATAGCCCTCTAATGGTACCTACCTATATTCGGCATTTTGATAATTTTAGCGACATTATTCACCGGAATTCTTTCAAATTTGTTATTTGATGTTCGAAATGGATACTAGAGCCTAAGACAGAAAATTCTCTGTGCAGGTCCACGTCTTCGCATAGCCCCCATATAACTGTACCTCCCGATATTCGGTACTTTGTTGATTTTAGCGATTTTATTCACCGGAATTCTTTCAAATTTTCAGATAGGAGATTGTCTGTGCAGGTTCACGTCTTCGCATAGCCCCCATATAACGGTACCTCCCGATATTCGGTATTTTGATGATTTTAGCTACATTATTCACCGATATTGTAATGGCTTATGACAAAAGTTACGTATGCAGGTCCATGTCGTCGTATAGACCCTAATATAACAGCTACATTCGGTATTGTTAAGATTTTAACAGAATTTTTAACGAATTTTATTGTTTTTGAAAATTGTCAAATTCGTTCCAAATGGTGGAGGGTACAACGTTCGGCCCGGACGAACTTACATCTTTTCTAGTTTTTTTATACCCTACACCACAAGGTGGTCAGGGTATTACGTCTTTGTGCATTTGTTTGTAACAGGCAAAAGAAAACGAGATAGACCCACAGTTCCTTTTGATGATCTGCATAGAATCATATTCTGAGTCGATTCCGTCCGTCCGTCTGTCCATGTATTTTTGTAAACAAAGTACAGTTCGCATTTATTACCCGATCCAAATGAAATTTTGCACAAATCATTTGTTTGGCCCAAGGACGAACCCTATTGAAATTGGAGATAATCGGTCAAAATTTAGATATAGCTCTCATATATATATTCGTCCGATTTGCCTTTTATTGTGCACCAAACGTGTAATATCAGTCCGAATAGTATGGAATTTTGCACATACAACCAGTTTAGGCCTGTAAATAAGTATGCCAAATTTGATCGAAATTGGTTCAGATATAGCTATAGCTCCCATATATATTTTTCATCCGATTTGTTATTTTTGTCCTCCGCAGCCGTAATATGCACTCTGTAACAACAATATTTGGGGAAATATATCAAATGCAGCTCAGAAATACCTTTGCTAAATTTTATCAAGATCGGTTCAGATTTGGATATAGCTCCCATATATAACTTCGTCCGATTTACCTTTTTATTTATTTTATAGCTCCCATATATACTGTTCATCCGATTCAGAGACATATATCAAATACAGCTCAGAAATATCTTTGCCAAATTTTATGGAGATCGGTTCCGATTTGGATATAGCTCCCATATATATTTTTATCCGAATTCAAATTAATTGTGCACCAAATGGGCAATACAAGTCCGAATTTGGGATACAAATGCTTCGGCATATTTAGTCCTTTGAACCTTAAATTTATAATTATAATCATAGCGTGTATGATTGAATTCTCCCATAAAAACTTTTAATTGTTATGCGGAGCCCCGCCCGACTTTAAGACTTTCTTTACTGTTTTTTTTCCATATGATGGTGGGTATTCAAAGTTCGGCCCGCCGAACTTACTGCTTTTTTACTTGTTTTTTTTTTTTTTTTTTGTAACCCCCTTAGACTATTTACAGTGGGGCTAAGTTGAAGCTCATGTCTGTACAGAAAAGCATTGGAAGACAGAATTGAAGCTTTAAATCATGAGATACCAGCCGAAATGTATGTGAAAATTGTACTAAGCGGATGGGCCATTTGAGGCGCACTTACGGTCAACATTTGCATGAAATATTCTTCAAACATTAAATTATATGGGTCGAACTATCAATTCAAATAACGATGCCATGCATTTTTCTGAATGTATTGTTATTTTTGAAATACCTTCTCATAGCAGGTCTCACACAAAGTCAAAAACTGCAAAATTAAACATGGGAGCCCCCATGCCCATCGGCAATGCTGTGCAAAAAAAATTTGCATAAAATTTCCATCCATTGAAGGTCCGACATGCCGTCAATTTATATAATTCTATTCAAAAGTGTTTTATCAAATTTCCATTCGTTTGAAACCAACCGACCTGCAGATATCAAGCAAAACGCAAAAAAAAACGAACAACAAATGCAAAATGCCCTCGGGAGAGACTTGCAAAAAATCAGCTATAGCTCTCAAACCTCTTACCTATCGTAAGCAGATTTTCTCAACCATACCAAGGTATTTAGTTGGAAATTTTTAAATAAAGAATTTTAATAAAAAAAACTCCCTTTTCCAGATGGCTAGAAGGCAAACGCCAAGATGATGAAGCCGAAGATCTATGGCGCATTTATGACAATTTATATGATCTCCATGGGTTTATCAACCATCATCCAGGTGGTAAATTTTGGTTGCAACAAACCAAGGGAATGGACATAACCGAAGCCTTCGAAACGCATCACATTAGGGCAGTGCCTCAGGCCCTGTTGGATAAGTATTTCGTGCGTAAAGCTTCAAAGCCAAGAAACTATATTTTGACATTGGAGGAAAATGGATTTTATCGTACGCTTAAGAGGCGTGTTGGGGCACAGCTAGATGAGATGGACTATAGCCCCCGGCGAAGGACGTATGTAAGTTAACATGTGGCTCCTGTATTTCATTTTTTATACCCTTATTTTGTAACCAATCTTGGGTGGCGCGTGCTCAGTGCGATGGTGTTGAGTCCTGTTGGAATGTGCAAGGTCTACGGCCAAAATGCTTGCGTATCCAAGGCTTTAGTACACCCTCCAGAATATTTTCGCGATAATATTCAGCATTTATTCTGATGCTACGATCGATTAATACGAGCGGAGAGCGATCATGGGCTGTTATGGCGGCCCACACCATCACCATGACCGGCGCTTGAGTTCTGGTGGCCAACCGAAGGTGCATATTTTCAGCTGACCTCTTTGGCAAGTAAACACCATCATTTTGTTTATTTATAAACTGCTGGACAACGAAGGTTTTCTCACCGGAGAAACCCAAATTCAGCAGTTTACCACTTTCGACAGGTCACCAAGCAAAGCAACTCTTTAGCTCTTTTGAGTCTATTTTCTTTCTGTTGCGGTGTAAGTTCTTGCACTTTTTGGAATTTCAATGGCTTTACCCCGAGCTCGGGTAATTTTTAATATTTGCCGAATGGAATAATGCGATATGTTCAGCTCACGAGCCAATTTTCGGCCACTACGACGCGGGTTTCGATCAAGTCGCTTCTTTACTTTTCGCACCATTTCTGTTGACGTTGCTTTTTTCTTCCACCCACTTCCTTGACGTCGGGCTACGCTACCAGTATCACCGACCGAGTGACGAGCGAGACACAAAATATTTATTCACATTTAAATGCTGCAGTGCTCTAACAATAGCCACTTGTGGTTTTCCAGCCAAATATAAAGAAATCACACTATCATGCTTGAATTCCATCACGAATAACTTTTTTTCTGGAAAATTCTCATCAAAATGCTTTTGTACGCTTGTAAACAATATAATGAGCTGTCACTGGAATAATTCTAACAGCTGTCGGACGAGTAGCTTAGAAATGACAGCAGTCTGAATTTGGTTGCAGTTTTTTTTTCATTTCGCACAAAAAAAACACATTTTTGGGTTAAAGCCGTACACTATGGGAGTTTATGCAAAATTCCCCTCCATTTTAGAACGATGACGTCAAAGAGAAAAATATTCTTCACCAAATTTCAGTATCAGTCGCCAAAGTATATAATTCTCTATTTCAATTCTATATCAAGAAAATATTTGCATTAATGTTACCAAAAAAACGTGAAGGTAATTTCTAATTTATTTAATGAATTTTTCCTCGGACTTTTTTCGAGTTGATGCATGAACGCGATATAAAACTTCGTTTTAGACAGAAAGTATCAAAGGAAGAATTATTCTACACAAAATTTCACTATAAGTCTCAGAATAAACTATATATCTAGGTTTAATAGTTTTTAAGAAAATCACATTCGAAATGTAAAGATTACAAGTGAAAATGATGGGTTTACGTTTTTAACTGCTAATTTTACACGTTTCCATTCTGAGTTAAAATCTCCCTTTATACTTCGTTTTTTGTGAAAAGTGTTACAAGAAGAAATATTCTAGACCTGATTTCATTGTGAGTCTTCGAACAAAAGACATTTGTATACCTAATATGTACCACAGAAAAAATCTATCAATTTTGGTATATTAAAACCTATTTTATTTTCGAAAAATTTGGCACATTTTTCGAATCCCCTGCAAATTTTCCTAAAATGCCTCAATACAACAGGCAATATGAGATGTGGGAAATTTCAAGCGGATTCGATAACACCAAGGAATTCAGCCGTCATACTATGGGGTACCTATGAAAGGTCCCTTTTTATAGAAAATTTCTGGGAGATATTTTACCTCTCGTAAATGATAAAGGTGTGCTACTTTTCTCTTATACAAACTCACTCTGTTTTTGCTTTCAGCTCTACCACTTGGCCCTTCTCGCTGCCAGTGTGATATTATCTCTAATTTCAACACGCCTGGACAGTATGCTAGTGGAGGCATTAACTGGCCTACTTATAGTTTGGCAAGCCGTGGCAGCTCACAATTATTTCCATCAACGTGACAACTGGCAAATGTATAGCTTCAATTTGACCCTAATGAATTTTGCCGATTGGCGTATATCTCATGCGCTGTCGCATCATATCTATACGAATTCTTTATATGATTTGGAAATGACCCTTCCCGAACCATATCTATGTTGGATACCCAGTAAGGAGGTGGCAACTAAGACATGGCGCATTATTTCCATATTTCTTCAACCCGTGGTTTATGCTCTGCTATTTTTTGCCAGCTTTTCACAAAGGTAAGAAAATAAGTTTTAAAGATCTTGAATCAGAAAACTGAAATTTCATCTAATTTCAGGGTATTCCGATCGATTGTAAACAAAAACGAACTCTATTGGCATGACATAATTGGCTTCAGCTTACCGGCCCTAATGTGGTTGTGTTCTCCATTATCAGCGGCCGAGGTGCTCCTTAAATGGTGCCGTATTATAATGTTTGCCAGTTTTATTTTCAGTTTAATTAGTTTCAATGGCGCCCATCATGTCTCAGATAATTATCATGATGGAGATGCCTTGCCTTCACAACTCGATTGGGGTCTCTATCAATTGACAACGATCACAGATCGCAGCGACATTAAGGGCAATCACTTTTGGGCTCTAACACATTTCGGAGATCACATTTTGCATCATTTTTTCCCAACCCTGGATCATGGTATGCTGTCGCAATTGTATCCGATTCTGCAGAGTACTCTGGAAGAGGTCAATGGTTCTGAACCGAGAGAGCTTTCATTTGTGCAGCACATAATCGAACAAAATAAACAGCTGCTAAGAATGGAACCGAATCCGCGGGGACATTTTTAAGAGGAAAATATTAAAAAAAAAATAAAGGAAACAATTATTTGGAACCGGATCGAACTTTTAATGCCAACCACCACTTGGAACGAATTTGACAATTCTCAAAACAAAAAATCCGTTAAAAAATCTGTTAAAATTTAAAAAATACCGAATTTAGCCGTTATATTAGGGTCTATACGACGACATGGACCTGTCTCATCAGAATCATAAAAATACCGGATATAGGGAGGTGCTCTTATATGGGGCTTTACCAAAACGTGCACCTGCAAAGACAATTTTCTGTCATAGGCTGTAGTATCCATTACCAACTTCAAATACCAAATTTGAAGCAATTCCGCTAAATAATGTCGCTAAAATCAACAAAATACCGAATATCGAGGGGTACCGCTATATGGGGGCTATGCGAAGACGTGGACCTGCACAGACAATCTTCTGTCACAGGCTGTTGTACCAATTACGAAGTTTAAATACGAAATTTGAAATAATTCCGGTAAAAAATTGCCCTAAAATCATCAAAATACCGGATATCGGGGGTACCGTTAAATGGGGGCTATACTATATAGTGGAGACAATTCTCCTACTCAAAAGGAACTCCTTGTGTGGATTAACAGACAAGTACATTGAAAAATGTCGCTAATATCATCAAAATGCCGAATATCGGAAGGTACCGTTAAATAGGGGCTACACGATAAGGTGGACCTATTTAGAAAATTCTCTTCCAGGGGGTTAAGTATTTAGGAGGAACTCCTTGTGTAGATTTTCAGACAAGTCCATTGAGAAATGTGACTAAAATCATCAAAATACCGAATATCGGGAGGTATCGTTATATGGGGGCTACACGATATCGTGGACCTATATAGATAATTCTCTTCCAGAGGATAATGTACCCACAAAGAACTCTTTGTGTAGAATTTCAGACAATTCCATTGCAAAATTTGGCTAAAATCATGAAAATACCGAATATCGGGAGGTACCTTTATATAGAGGCTATGCGAAGACTTGGACCTGTTATAGGCTGTAGTACCCATTACGAACTCTAAATACATAATTTAAAACAGTTCTGGTGAAAATGTCCTAATATCATCAAAATACCGAATATCGGGGGGTATCGTTATATGGAGCTATACGATATCGTGGACCTATATAGAGAATTCTTTCCGAAGGGGTAAAGTAGTCAGAAGGAACTCCTTTTGTCCAGAGACGTCTATTGAAAAATGTGGTTAAAATCATGAAAATACCGAATAAAGGGAGGTGGTGATATACCATATCGTGGGCCTATATAGACAATTCTCTTCCAGTTGGTAAAGTACTTAGGAGGAACTCCTTGTGTAGATTTTCAGTCAAGTCCATTGAGAAATGTGACTAAAATCGTCAAAATACCGAATATCGGGAGGTATCATAGGGGCTATGCGAAGACTTGGACCTGTTATAGGCTGTAGTACCCCTTACGAACGTTAAATACAAAATTTGAAACAATTCGGGTGAAAATGTCCATAAATTCATCATCATATCGAATATGAGAGGTTATATGGGGGCTATACGAAGACATGGACCTGGATACGCAATTTTTTGTCATAGGCTATAGTACCAATTACAAGGTGAACTTATCCTCTCATATAAATTTTGAACAATATTTGGTGTGATGGAAATTTCCTTCGCTCTAGGCTAACTCCCCTTTTCTTTCTAGCAATGGTTGCCACTGTGTATTGGAATTTAGTTTGACCAATTAAACTCTTAAACTAAAATAAATCAATTCGCTTTCAAATCTTCACAAAAAAATTCCAAACATTTTTGAAAACTATAAAAAACTGCAAAATACCGGTTAACGCAAACCTTTATCTTCCACTGTATTTAATTTCAATGAAAAAAAAAACAAACGAATTAATCAAAGAGAGAGAGAGAGAGAGAGAACGATTCCAAAAGTCAAACTATGTTTGTTGTTGATCACAAAGTCCGCAGCGACGCAGGCAACGTGAGAGATCCCCATACCAATATGAATGTTGAGCACCACATTTAAATTTACCACATGATAAGATAGCGTGTCGCCCCTGGGGGGTTTGGGTTCTATCAATGTAAGCCATTTTAAAACAGTTTGAAATAATAATAAAAATATATTTTATTAGCTTGTAAATATATAAAATATATGGGAGATGGTATATAAATGACACATATAATAATAACATGTACGAGGTACATTCAATAGAAATGGTAAAAAATAATATTCCGTAAAACTTAAAAAAAAAAAGTTAAAAAATATCAGTCGGTATTGCCGACAGATGCATACCCTCAGCCAATGTTCGATTATTTAAATGTATTTTGACTTCTGTTATGATTATTCAAACGATTGACCCTCTATGGAGTAGGTTTCGAAGGTTTGGGCCAATATTTTCCATATCGTATCGGACCTAAATAAATATGATGTAAAAGTAGCCGACTACATAACTACTTCCTTCACTTTTTATGAGATATGTGATAATTGTTAGATATAGTCGATTTAAGTATTCCATTTTCATAATTCATCTAATACAGATAAAGATATTGGTGTTGGGCAAAATTACAAGAAAATCGAATATTTATATCCAATTTTATGCGAACTCATATATTCCATATTCCTCTCAGGTTTCTGGTTGAGAGCAATATTTTGATACAGCAAGTTGTAAAGAATCGCTGAAATGTTTTTTAAGGGTGAGGTACCAGAAGGGGTTCCCAGATATATATCATCTTCACAACAAATCTTGTGCTAGCAACAATGTTTGTACAGGGTGAGATGAAAAAACTGCAACCAACCTCAGACTGCTTTAATTTCTAAGCCACTCGTCCGATAGCTGTTAAAATTATTCCAGTGACCGATTATTATATTGTTTACAAGCGTGCAAAAGCACTTTGGTGAGAATTTTCCCGAAAAAAGTTATTCGTGATGGAATTCAAGCGTGATAGTGTGATTTCTTTATATTTGCCTGGAAAACCACAGGTGACTATCGTTAGAGCACTCCAGCATTTAAATGTGAATAAATCTCTTGTGTCTCGTACCATCTCTCGTTACCGTAATACTGGTAGCGTAGCCCGACGTCAAGGAAGTGGACGGAAGAAAACAGCAACATCAGCAGAAATGGTTCGAAAAGTAAAGAAGCGACTTATTCGTAACCCCTGTCGCAGTGGCCGAAAAATGACTCGTGAGCTGAACATATCGCAATATTCCATTCGGCAAATATTCAAAATTGACCCCAGCTCGGGGTAAAGCCATTGAAATTCCAAAAAGTGCAAGAACTTACACCGCAACAGAAAGAAAATAGACTCAATAGAGCTAAAGAGTTGCTACGCTTGGTGAACTGCAGGAAGTGGGGAACTGCCGAATTTGGTTTTCTCCGATGAGAAAACATCCGTTGTCCAGCAGTTTGTAAACAAACAAAGTGATCGTGGTTACTTGCCAAAAAGGTCAGCTGAAAATATGCACCTTCGGTTGGCCACCAGATCTCAAGCGCCGGCCATGGTGATGGTGTCTGCCGCCATAACAGCCGATGGTCGCTCTCCGCTCTTATTAATCGACCGTAGCATCAGAATAAATGCCGAATATTATCCCGAAAATATTCTGGAGGGTGTATTATGCCTTGGGCACTCAAACATTTTTAGCCGCAGACCTTGGACATTTCAACAGGACTCAGAACGCGCCACCCATGGATGGTTACAAAATGAGGTTCCTCGCTTCATTTCTAGCGCACAACGACCACTAAAATCTCGGGATAGCAATCCGTTGGACTATTGTGTCTGGAGTATTTTAGAAAGCAAGGTTGGCACTAAAAACACCTCAAGCGAGCGCTTCGCCGGGAATGGGCCAATATACCGCAGAGCAACATTCGGGCAGCGTGTGACGGTTTCATTGGACGTTTGAAGACCATAATTCGTTACAAAGGTGACCTGTGATCCTGTATAAGAGTTATAACTATTCAAAATTTTGACCCTTGATGGAATGGATCGGTATTGTCTATTTTAGCACCTGACCTGTAAATATTGGAATTCGCAAAATTGGAGCAAAGTCGGATTATTCTCTCTTTTTCGGTGCAATATTTTTTTTTTTAAAAATTTCGACTATTTGTGGGAAAGGTACCAGAAGGAGTATTATCGTGCGCACCAGCCAGACACACAGACGGACATGGCTAGATCTACTCTAAAATGTCCTGAAACGGATTTGGTCCAAAGAGACCTAGGGTCTAAAACCGTTATTAGGATGAGGCAAGTTTTGGTCGTATGAAATAATATATACCCTCTCTAGCCATATGGCTGAGGGTATAAAAATTAAATTTTTAAAGAAGTACTAACTGACTTTTTTTATAACTTCTTTCCAAGCACTTTACTCCCTGGAAGAGAAATGTCTATATAGGTCCACGATATTGTATAGCCCACATACAATGTTACCTCCCAATATTCGGTATTTTTATGATTTCCGCTACATTATTCACCGGAGTTGTTTCAAATGTTGTATTTAGAGTTCAAAATAGGACAGAAAATTGTCTATGCCTTCGTATAGGCCCCATATATCAGTACCTCCTAATTTTCGGTATTTTGATGATTTTAGGAGGTGTTTAAAATTTCGTATTTTGGTTTCGTAACAGAAACTACAGTCTATGTCAGAAAATTGTCATAGACTGTAGTTCCTCTATATATTCGGAATTTTGACGATTTTAGGTGCAATATTCTTGTTTGAAATTTTGTATATGAAGTTTGTAATAGGTACTACATCCTCTGACATAAAATTGTCTATGCAGGTCCACGTCTTCGTATAGCCCCCATATAACGGCACCTCCCGATATTCGGTATTTTGATGATTTCAACTACATTATTGCTGATTTTTTTTAAGTTCCGCATTTCAATATTGTAATGGTTTATGACAAAAGTTGCCTATGCAGGTCCACGTCTTTGTATAGACCCCAATATATTGGCTATATTCGGTATTTTTAAGATTTTAACAGAATTTTTAACGGATTTTATCCTTTTTTTTTGAAAATTTCCTAATTTGTTCCAAATGGTGGAGGGTATTCAAAGTTCGACCCGGCCCAACTTATTGCTTTTTTACTCGTTCTTTTTTTTTTTTTTTTTTGAAATTCTTGATAAAATGCCTCAATCGAAAAACAAAAAAAAAATATCTCTGAGTTTTGGGGTAGTTAAAAATGATTTAAATCTGACGTTTACTGATCTTTCTTTAAATCCCAATGATTATTATGGTAAACCTGGAACTTATCTTGTAAGGGCTAAGTGTAGATGTAATTTAAAAATGTATTAAAAACTCATTTATCTGAAATTAATTCTATTCAGTCTCAAATTAATTCTCAAAATGGTTTTCCGTGCTTACAATAACTCCGAACGGTTCTCTGTCCAACATTGTGTTAGCAGAGCGCCGGCAGCGGCGTTATCTTCGCCACAGAATTATTTGTTTATAGAAATTGCCTTCGGAATCGTGAACGAATTAAATCCAGTTCTCTCAGTATCCGCAGTGTAAACAAACAAGAAGCACACGCGGAGCCGAAAGTTGAAACAGCCGGCGAGTTTACTGTGTCGATTAATGAAGCTAATCGTATCGCATCGTTTTGTTTTATGACCTCAAAACACCAAGTTCAAGATATACCAGCCATCAATCCGTTGGGTGGCTTATTGGAATTCAAACGGCGGCGATAGATAGCTACCGAAAATTGCATTCATTTTTTTCCGCTGCTTTTTTTTCGGATAAAAAAAAATAAACAAAAAACAACATGTCTACAACCAAAGTACTTCAGAAATCGGAATCATGGAAACACTCGACAATATCTGTAAAACCGCCTAGCTATCGGAAGAAACCTTTGGTCACCAACCAAAGGTCGGTCTGTAATATATATTTTGTTTTGAAACCGGTTAAATCTAATTCTTAAAATGTAATTTCAAATTGTTTGTTTTTTTTCTACAGCTGGTTAAAGGGTAAACGACTGGATGATGGCGCCGAAGGTCTATGGCGTATCCACGATAATTTATATGATTTCAACGATTTTGTATCAAAACATCCGGGTGGCTCATTTTGGTTAGATCGTACCAAGGGCACCGATATTACCGAATCCTTTGAGAGTCATCACATCAGAGGTGTTCCCCAGGCGATATTGCAAAAGTATTTTGTACGTCAAGCCCAGCAACCGAGGAACTATACCTTAACGCTGAAGGAAAATGGATTTTATCTTACGCTAAAGCGTCGCGTTGCAGAGCAACTGAAAAATGTCGATCAAAGTCCCAAAGGGAAGACGCGGGTAAGTGTTTGGGAGAAAGGATTCACTTGTGTGGTATAACAAGTAAAAAAGCTGTAAGTTCGGCCTGGCCGAACATCGAATGCCCTCCACGATACGGAACTAATTTGGAAATTCTCAAAAAAAAACGTTAAAAATTCTGTTAAACGTGGACCGGCATAGGCAACTTTTGTCATAAGCCATTCGAATTCGAAACTTGAAAAAAAAATCGGTGAATAATGTCGCTAAACTCATCAAAATACCGAATATCGGAAGGTACCGTTATATGGGGGCTATACGAAAACGTGGACCTGCACAGACAATTTTCTGTTTTAGGCTGTAATATCCATTACGAACTTCAAATACCAAATTAAAACAATTCCTGCGAATGTCGGGAGGTACCGTTATATGGGGGCTATACCAAAACGTGAACCTGCAAAGACAATTTTTTGTCTTAGGCTGTAGTATCCATTACGAACTTCAAATGCCAAATTTGAAACAAGTCCGATGAAAAATTTCGCTTTAATTATCAATATTCCGAACATCGGGAGGTACCGGAGTCTAAGAAATCTTCTTTCACCTCGTCTAAACCTATTATCTTCGGAATGAGCGGAAAGTACAACCTTCTCCCCGAATCTAAAGAGCGCCTCCACCGTGTCTACAAGGTTTCTATGCTTCAGGCCGTTTATAAAAAACTCGATTTAATTCGTCTAAAAAGACTTCGTTCAGTTCATCTAAAAAGACCCACTTCAACTCGTCTAAACCTATTCTTTCCAGCTTGAGTAGGAAGTACAACCTTCTCCTCGAATCTAAAGCCTCCCTTCATCGTGTCTTCAAGGTCTCCCAGCTCCAGGCCGTTTATAAAAGACTCTATACTCCCTTCTAATACTCCCTTCATTTAGTCTAAGAAATCTCCTTACACCTCGTCTAAACCTATTCACTTCGGCATGAGTGGAAAGAATAACCTTCTCCTCGAATCTAAAGACTCCCTTCATCATGTCTACAAGGTCTTGGAACTCCAGCCCATTTATATTTTTATCCTTCCTCAGGTCGTCAAAAAAGAAACTCTGCCTCAGTTTATCGTAAACGACTCCATTGCTCTAAACAATCTCGGTTTCTTAAAATTTCGAAAAAGTTCCTCTGTCTTTGCGCTCGAAAGAACAAATAAGAACCCCTGACACAACTTATGTGTACAGATTTCTTGCTATTCGTCTAGGGAGACACATTTCAGTTCGTCTATAGAGATTACCTTAAGGTCGTCTATAGAAACTCTTCTCAGGTTGACTTTAGCTCATCTATGAGAAGAATCACTGCTTCAGGTTCGTTAATTAAAAAATTCTCTGCTTTAGTTCGTCTATGAGGCCATTCCCTACTTCATGTGGTCTAAGGAGAGACTCTCTGTGTCACATTCTCGTCCATGAAGAGGACCTCTGCTTCCCAGCTCGTACACTTGGAGACTACCTGCTTCACAACTCGTCAATAGAGAGGCTCCCTGATTCACTGCTCATCTATGAGACTCTCCCAGCTTCAGAGTTCTTCTATAAAAAAACAATCTGCTTCAGAGGTCGTTCATGGAGCTCTGTCTAGTCTATGGAAAGATTCTCCACTTCACAGCCCGTCTATAGAGACTCTCTGCTTCATTGCTTGTCTATAGGGAGGCACCTGTCTATAGAGAGACGGTCTCCCTGCTTCACAGCTCATATATTGAGATCCTCAGCTTCAGAGCTCGTTCATGGAGAGATTCCATGTTTACACCTAGTCTATGGAAAGACTCTCTGCTTCACAGTCCGTCTATAGAGAGACTCTCTGCTTCATGGCTTGTCTGTGGGGGAGGCACCCTATTTATAGCTAGAGATTGACTCTCTTGTCTATAGAGAGACGGTCTATTTCAAAGCTCGTCCATTAATAGACTCCCTGCTTCACAGCTCGTCTATAAAAAACGATCCACTTCACAGCTCATATATTGAGATCCTCTGCATCAGAGTTCGTTCGTGGAGAGATTCCTTGTTTACATCTAGCCTATGAAAAGACTCTCTGCTTCACAGTCCGTCTATAGAGAGATTCTCTGCTTCATGGGGAGGCAATTTACAGCTTGAGAGAGAGAGACTCTTTCGTCTAATGAAGGACGGTCTATTTCATAACTTGCCCATTGATAGATTCCCTGCTTCACAGTTCGTCCAAAAAAAAACGATCTGCTTCACAGCTCATATTTTGAGATCCTCTGCTTCAGAGTTTGTTCATGGAGAGATTCCTTGTTTACATTTAGTCTATGGAAATACTCTCTTCTTCACAACCCATCTATACAGAGACTCTCTGCTTCATGGCTTGTCTATAGGGAGGCACCCTATTTACAGTTAGAAAGAGAGATAGACTCTCTCGTCTCTAAAGAGACGGTCTATTTCATAGCTTGTCCATTGATAGACTCCTGCTCCACAGGTCATCTACGGAAACACTCACTATTTACAGCTAGTCTTTTAAGAGACTCTATGTTTCACAGCTCTTCCATGGAGAGACTCCCTTTTCACAGCTCGTCTAGTTTATGGAAAGGTTGTCTGCTTCATAGCTGGTCTATGAAGATGCTCCTCGTTAACAGCTAGAGAGACAGTCTGTTTCACAGCTCATCCTTCAAGAAATTCCCAAGTCTATGGAGAGACTCCCTGCCTTACAGCTCTTCTGGCCAGAGACCCTCTGCTTTACAGCTCCTCTATGGAGAGACTCTTTCTCATACAAAGATCATCCCTACGCAGCTCAGAGTGCGTCTATAGAGAGAAAGACTCCCAGCTTTAGAGAGATGCACGGTTTTTAATTTAACTCTTCTATAGAGAGAGAGAGAGAAAGAGGCTTCCTGCTTCACCTCGCCCGTAGAGAGAGAGATTTCCTACAACAGATTATGTATATATAAAGTGATATAGACTCTCTGTTTCAGCTCGTCTAAAGAGCCTCGATTCTAAAAAGACTTTACACAGTTCGCACAGAAACTGATTTGCTCTCAACTATAAGAGCCTGTTACATCTCGTCGAAATATAATCTCTGCCGGCACTGGATAGAAACTCATGATCGTTGAAAAAAAATCAATGCCTCAACTCGTCGCAAAAAGTCCCCGCCCTTGCTCTTCTAAAAAGGAAACCTGTCTCAGGTCATCTAAAAAACTCCTAACCAAAACTCATTAAAAAACTCTCCTCTCTCTCTTATTTTACAAACATTCTCTTCTGTTCCAATCCCTCCATTCTACCCCCCCCCCCCCCCCCCCCCCATTAAGAAATACTTCGTTCAATAATTTTGCATTTATCTACCTTTCATTTCAGTTCTACCACTTGATTCTCCTCTCTGCCACCTTGGTATTCATTGTACTGTCGGCACTGATGCCTAATATTATTTTCGAGGTGGCTGCAGCTCTTTCCCTGGCATGGCTTAGCATTTCCGCTCACAACTATTTCCATCAACGCGACAATTGGCAAATGTATACCTTCAATTTTACCCTGATGAATTTCAATGAATGGCGGATTTCTCATGCCCTGTCGCATCATGTCTACACAAATTCATTGCATGACTTGGAAATGTCCCTCTTTGAACCATTCCTGTGTTGGATTCCCAACAAGCATATTGCTTCTAAGGCCAGACGTATTGTATCCGTGATAATACAGCCGGTGTTCTATTCACTTATATTTCCCATTCAGTTGCTGCAGAGGTAAGGACAAGAGGTTAGATTAAAAATAAAAAATATTTTTTTTTACAATTTTTATTTTTTTTCAGAACTGTCCGATCGGTGGTTGGCAAAAATGAGCTATACTGGCACGATATTATTGGATTTTCCCTACCTATTCTAATGCTGCTCGTCTCACCGGCTCCATCCTCATCAACGGTCATCCTTCAATGGCTTCGCATCATTGCGATATCCAGCTTCATATTCGGTTTAATTGGCCTGAATGCCTCCCATCATACCCCGGAAATTGTGCACGATGGCGATGCGCTGCGTGAAAATCGTGATTGGGGTCTTTATCAAGTCGACACAATCATTGATCGGGGTGATATTAAAAATTCTCATTTTATGTGCCTCACCCATTTCGGGGAGCATTGTCTGCATCATTTATTCCCAACCCTGGATCATGGTGTATTGCCACAGCTGTATCCGATACTTATGAAAACTCTCTCGGAATTCAAAAGTGAATTGAGAGAAATAACATTTTTGGATCACATCATTGGACAGAATCAACAGTTACTGAGGACCAAAGCTAATCCCATACCTGTGGACCAAAGAAAATTAAAGAAGTAATAGTTTTTTATTATCGATTTAATGATTGTTTTTGTAAATAGTTTATTTAAGGCGTTTTTATACAAAGTCATTGTGATTTGAAGAAATTTTATTTATATGCACATACACACACATACATATGTTTGTTTGAAAAATTCACTATCAAAGTTTAGTTTTTTTTTTATTTTTCTTGGCATGCTTATGCGTTATCTATAAGTTAATTGCCAGGGATGGGAAGTTTTATTTACCCCATTTTAGAATAATAAACATATGAAGTTATAATTGGTGGTACGTTAAAATCACCTTCAAGAATAGATGCAGATGGAAAATAGAAACGGGTATTTGAAAAAGAGCCGAATCAAGTCTTTATATGCGAGCTTTTCAAGTTGAGGCGATTTAAATCTCTTTCCCGGCAAGATGTAACAAGTCTCTCTTTTTCTAGGCATCCAGAAGCCAGTCTCTCTCTCTCTCTCTCTCTCTAAGTGAGCCAGTATCTCTCTCTCTTTTTATAGTTTTAGAGTTTGTTTATAGTGTGCCTCTCTATTTTAGAGTGTGTGAGAAGGAGCTCTCTCTCTCTTTATAGGCGAGCAGAAACCAGTATCTATATCTATGATGCACAAAATGAATATTGCGCTTGTATGTGTGAGAGAAACCAAAAAGCACGTAAAAAATATCTCCCTTCTTGTTTTGGGCGTTTTGTAGCAAGAATTTTAATTTTATGTTAACAAAATTATCAAAAAACATTAAATATAAACTCCATATATTTATATTTTTCTACAAAAGCTATCCATAATTTGTTTTCTTAATGTTAACGGAGCAACAATGCGTACATCCCCCACGCATGTCTACATTCGTTGAAGTCTAATCAACGACTGAGACCAACGCAAACGTACTGTTTTGTTCATCTAAGATCTATATATATTTAACTCGTCTATAGCGTCGCATTAAATCTCTTTCCAGGCAAGCTGTAACTTGTCTTTCTCTTTCTAGGCGACCTGAAGCCAGTCTCTCTCTAAGTGAGCCAATGTCTCTCTCTCTCTTTATGGCTTCTGGCTTCAGCCAGTGTCTCTCTTTTTAGAGTGTGTCTGTCTCTCTTTTGTTTATAATGTGTCTCTCTATTTTGCGTGTAAGAAGGAGCTCTCTCTTTATAGGCGAGCTTAAGCCAGTGCCTCTCTCATTAGTGGCGACTTCCATTCATCACTTTCACATATTTAACTCGTCTATAGCGTCGCTCATCTATAGCCTCCCTTTTTACCCGGTCTATACCATCCCCTTTGGGCTCGTCTATATACTCCCTATTCAGCCTGTTTATACATCCCCGATTCAGCTCTACTGTAGACTTCTTCGTCTGCTGGTTTATAGACTACCAATTCAGCTCGTCTATATACTCCCTAGTCTGCTCGTCTATATACTCCCTATTCCAATCGTTTGTATACTTCATTTGCAGGTCGTCTGTGGACTAACTCTAGGGCTCGTCAGTAAACTCCCTCGGTCGTCCCTATGTAAACTTCCTTTACAGATCGTTTATAGACTTCCCCATCAGCTCGTCTATATAGTCCCTTTTCCAATCGTTTGTATACTCCATTTGCAGGTCGTCTATACACTACCTCGTCAGCTCGTCCATAGACTCCCTTACCAGCTCGTCTATAGACTCCCTCGTCAGCTCATTTACATGGTGAAATGGGAAAACTGCAACCAACTTCAGACTGCTGTCATTTCTATGCCACTCGTCCGACAGCTGTTAAAATTAATCCAGTGACAGCTCATTATTTTGTTTACAAGCCGCCAAAAGCATTTTGGTGAGAATTTTCCAGAAAAAAAGTTATTCGTGATGAAGTTCAAGCGTGATAGTGTGATTTCTTTATATTTGGTCGGAAAACCACAGGTGGCTATCGTTAGAGCACTCTAGAATTTAAATGAGAATAAATCTTTTGTGTCTCGTACCATCCCTCGTGACCGTAATACTGGTAGCGTAGCCCGACGTCAAGGAAGTGGACGGAAGAAAACGGCAACATCAGCGGAAATGGTTCGAAAAGCAAAGAAGCGACTTGATCGAAACCTGCGTCGCAGTGGCCGAAAAATGGCTAGTGATGGCTGAACATATCGCAATATTCCATTCGGCAAATTTTTAAAAATGAGCTCGGTGTAAAGCCATCGAAATTCCAAAAAGTTGAAACACTTACACCGCAACAGAAAGAAAATAGACTCAAAAGAGCTAAAGAGCTGTTTCGCTTGGCCGAAAGTGGTGAACTGCCAAATTTGGTTTTCTCCGATCTCCGATGAGAAAACATTCGATGTCCAGCAGTTTGTAAACAAACAAAATGATCGTGTTTACTTGCCAAAGAGGTCAGCTGAAAATGTGCACCTTCGGTTGGCCACCAGAACTCAAGGCGCTTGAGTGAGGCCATAACAGCCGATGATCACTCTCCGCTCGTATTAATCGAGGCATCCGTGGCATCAGAATAAATGCCGAATATTATTGCGAAAATATTCCGGAGGGTGTATTAAAGCCTTAGGCACGCGAACATTTTGGCCGCAGACCTTGGACATTCCAACAGGACTCAGGACGCGCCACCCAATAATGGTAATAAAATGAGGTTCCTCGCTTCATTTCCAGCGCACAATGGCCACCAAAAAATCTCCGGATACCAATCCGTTGAACTATTGTGTCTGGAGTATTTTGAAAAGCAAGGTTGGCACTAAAAAATACCAAGGTGTCGATCACCACAATACCACAATACGAACAAATCTAAACTTATTCTAAAATTTTATGATATTTTCCGACATTTTTTGCTTTTATTCAAAATAATTAAAAACAAGTTAAAAAACAGTAAGTTCGGGCCGGGCCGAACTTTGAATACCCTCCACCATTTGGAACGAATTTGAAAATAAAATCCTCAAAAATTCTGTTAAAATTTTAAAAATAACGAATATAGCCGTTATATTGGTGTCTATACGACATGTAGGTCAACGTAAATTCGTCGGCATTGTTAGTCATAAGTCATTACAATATTCAAATTCGCAACTAGAAATAAACGGTGAATAATGTACCTAAAATCATCAAAATATCGTATATAGGGAGGTACCGTTATATCGGAGCTGTGCGAAGATCTGGACCAGCATAGACAATTGTCGGCCATAGGCTGTAGCATTCATTACGAACTTCAAATACGACATCTCAAACAATTTCGGTGGGTATTGTACCTAAAATCGTCAAAATGCCGAATATAGGAAGATACTGGTATATGGGGCCTATACGAAGACCTGGACCTGCATAGACAATTTTCTGTCTTAGGCTGTAGTATACATTACGAACTTCAAATACAAAAATTGAAACAATAATGACGCTAAAATCATCAAAATACCGACTATAGGGAGGTACCGTTATATGGGGGCTATACGAAGATTTGAACCTGCACAAAAAATTTTCTGTCTTAGGCTGTAGTATCCATTACGAACTTCAAATACCAAATTTGAAACAATTCCGGTGAATAATGACGCTAAAATCATCAAAATACCGAATATAGGGAGGTACCGTTATATGGGGGCTTTACGAAGACTTGAACCTGCACAGACAATTTTCTATCTTAGGCTGTAGTATCAATTTCGAACTTCAAATGCCAAATTATGGAGTTTGACTTCGTTGCAGTTTTTATATCTCACTCTGTATAATCTCTTTGGCTCTCCTAAAGACTTCCTCTCGGCTTGTCTGCTAGTCTAGCTGGCGTTATCTTTATGGACTCTTATAAAAACTGCCCCCTGGGTAGCATAAGATCCTCTTATCTATCTCCCAACTGTTTTTTGCTTCCTTTTGTACGTGACATTGTATTCGACAACAGTTTGTACAAGTCATTGTGATTAGGAAAACATGCCCATTTAATCTTTCCATCTAAGATAATTTCAACGAAAAAAAATCTCGTTTTTTTTCATTATCGCGCTTTGGTCACTTCGGCTCGTATGTGCATTTCAGTTGTAGCCAACAAAGAATTGGTGACTTCCATTTTAAGAGAGTATGACGAAATAACAAGAAGTTTATACGAAACGGCCAGAGTATATATTCTCCCCTGGCGATAAGAAGTAATAATGATATGAAAATCTGAAATCTGACTCGGAAATTTGGATATATATTTCAAATCCACCATTAAAATCAATAACTTAATACAAGGCATTGGATTAATTTATGAAACCTGTGTGTTCAAATAAATTCTAGGTCAATGTAATTATAACATACGTTTCCATATGTGGTTGTTGTAAAAACAACAATTTTTATTATTAATTAGATTTTTCTCTCATTTGCTGCTGAGAAAACAAAGCTATAATTATAGTGGTAAATTGATTGATTGTTGTTTTGTGTTATCGCTCAGAGATGCTCTCTTCCATTCTCTCAGACGTAATTTCAATCATTGTAAATGAAAAAAAAAAATGATTCAGTATTCATACTCTGTTCAATATGACCGTTTTGAATACTAATTATAGAATAGAATGTGAAAACAAACGCAAATAATCTATAAATCCTCTCTTTTTGGTCTGCTATTATGACACCGATTTGGGCGCCAACAATGGATCCCTACAGATATTCGCTTTGGGTCATCTAAACATTGCCAAGACTTGTTGTCTGCAAACAGTCTCGTTTTGGTGGCCTATAAGTACCAGTGGGTTGTCTGTTGAGTCTCAGTTTTGGTATTATAAAAAATACAGGGTGAGATAAAAAAAAAACTGCAACAAAGTCAAACGACATAATTTTTACATTTTTTTTAAATTTTATTGAATTAAAGCAAAAAATGTCGAAAATTTCATCGAATTTTAGTATAAGTTTAGATTTGTTCGAATTGGTCACTTTAGGCACGAATTATGGCCTTCAAACGGCCAATGAAACCTTCACACGCTACTCAAATGTTACCGGCGATGCGCTTGCTTGAGGTGATCGACACTTTTGTATTTTTTAGTGCCAACCTTGCTTTCTAAAATACTCCAGACACAATAGTTCAACGGATTGGTATCCGGAGATTTTGGTGGCCATTGTGCGCTGGAAATGAAGCGAGGAACCTCATTTTGTAACCATTCTTGGGTGGCGGTGGCATGATGAGTGCGTTGGCGCTGAGTCCTGTTGGAATGTCCAAGGTTTGCGGCCAAAATGTCTGGGTGCCCAGGGCATTAATAC